GTTGTCTGGAGGATGGCCATCCTGCCCGCCTGCCTTGCAGCGTAGGTAGCCATAAAGGTTTGCTGCTTGGAGGGAAATGCTAGCTACCACCACAGACTGAGGAAGGCAGACAGACGAGTCTGAGAGAGACAATATGCAATCTAGCACATATGCAGAAAAGCAAGCAAAGGGAGTCTCACCAGCCATTTAATCTTCAGAGAGAAGAGGGAGGTGAAGAAGAAGAAAGTCCAGATGAGAGGACAGATGATAAGGCCCAGCCAGAATATCCTTTCCTCTGCTTCGGTTCCAGTGTTACTATTCCGGGACTTATACACACAGATAACAAAGCAAACACTATAGGGTTAACACGTCAAAATCACTCATTTTTATTGCTCAAAATGCACAAAACACCCTCTTACTTTTTTGGCCTCAAATACCCAGAGGCTCTTTCCATCCTCGTCAATCTGATTCCACCAGCGTATATATATAGTCCTAAAAGCATGACCGTGATCCTGACACCGCGCTTATGCAGAGGACTAAAATGATGCTAGTTCAAGATCAAAAGCTGACTCTCGTAAAATGAAATTAATAAATAAAAACCTTCTCAATCTAAATTGAGCTGGGGTTTGGTTGGAGGAGGTGGGTAAGATGTTTTAATTTGCTCTCGGCTCGTTAGGGCTCCTGAGGGCAAGGGCAGCCTACTTTTAATGAGAGTTGCGATTGGCCTACTTCTTCTAAAACTAGACACATCACAAGGATTATCCGCATAAACTAACGCATGAAACCAATTTGTTCCTTATCATAACAACAGGCAGAGGAGTGTAGCAGTCTATATTATTCTGGTAATTTAGAGAATAAGATTTTTCTTTTCTGTTTAAAGATCATAGCCTGCACCTGCTTTCGCAGAAATAGAATGAAACAGGAGGGCGTTTCTGGTGGTTAAATTACATATTTCTTCCCCGTGGATATTAACCAGCAGGTATACTAAGCAGAGATTGCCAGTGTCCCTAAATCCTCTGCGTAAGCCACATGGACATGACATTTGGAGAGATTCAGAGCCTGAAAAAAAAAAAAAGATGTGATGCTCTGCGTGCAAATCTTCCCTGTTATTCCTTGGACCATCCCATATATAAAGCCTCAAG